TTCCAGGTTCTTATTAAGTTACATTGACTCTCCTCATTGAATTGCAATGTTTTCAAAAGCCAAACGCATTTTACTGCAATCAAAATATTACTTCATCCTCCTTGAGAAAATTCATTTATAATATCAGTTGAAGATAACAAAAAGAACAATATTTTTAGACATTTTTTTCAGAACTGAGATATCTGTTATTGCAATTGTACTAAAATGCATTAAGTCATGGAGTCAACACATCAAACAAGATAAGACAAGATTCAGCTCTTAAGCCATAATAAAGTTAAAATCTTAAATGTGCAAGTCATAAAAAGAATAAAGATTAGACTAGAAAAAAATACTAGAGATTAGTATTATAACAAAAGCAAAGACTTAAGACTAGAGTAAAAAAAACAAATTAAAAAGTGCAAAGACCCAAGTTATTTTGTTTTGTTTGGGCGTTATACATTATTATTTACATGTTATGATACAGTTTTGAATCCCAAAAGGAGTAAACTAACCCAAACCAAAAGTGAGTCAATGTTTAATATATATTTTAAAATGTAGAGGTTGTTTCCAGGCTAAATCACTCAAATCAATTTAAGCTTCTAGAAATAATTTATGACAAAAACACACCAATAGCACTGCACAGGTAAACATAAGCAGTACCTTAATAACAGGTAAAACTGGCCGTACAGTCTTGACAGCGTTCCTCAGTTGGCACTGGTGGCAAGATTTCACCTGGAGAATCAAGTAGTGATATTTAAGTGTACTCTGTTAGTTGGAAGGTAGACAGACCATAGACTCTATAAAGACAATGTATTTACAGACAAAAGAGCAAAATAAAAACACCAGGATCATGTAGAACAGGTTAATACGAACATTTTAAGACCAAAATGATGAGGCTCAGAGCAGCAGTTACATAACCAGCCTGGCGCCAACCTAGTGCCTTAGCTCAATTTAATTTCTCTCCAGCGACTAGGTCAGAAATCAGAATACACTAGAAGGTTCCCAAAAATCCCAGAAGTGCGAGTTCGGGCACCAGCCAATCAGCGAAGGGCCATATATTCTGTGTTGGCAACGATTCCCGAGATCAAGGATTTAAAGCCGGAACAAAGAGAATGTTTGGTGAATTTTATCAAGGGGAAAGACGTTATTGTCCTTCTTCCTACGGGATTTGGGAAAAGCTTAATATACCAGTTAACCCTGTTAGCGGCGCATTACATCACGTCACGACCAAACAGTAGCGAATGGTTAAATAAAAAGAAAACCTAACCCCATCAAAAAACGACTAAGCTTCCCGCAATCCAGAGCGCCCTATACACGAATCCACTCGGGTGTCCCAGCACGACTTCAGTAAACTACAAAGTCGCACCACCCGCAGCGCACGTAAACACACACGGAGCAGACAGCGACCGCACAGCGAAACACACCCACAGACACACTCATCACTCCACGCCGACGAGGAACGGAACGAAGGAACGAACCGAAAAAGCGAGTGCAATGTGCCACTTCTAGACACGACTGAACAACTGAGTCACTGCGAACACGCCGACAATCCAGCGGTCCCAGACAGCACCCTCCCTACACGCCACAACTGAACAAAGCCCAGAGTCACCGTGAACGCCACAAACAAACAAAGTCCCACTGACCCATCCAACTGTTGTGTTTCATTTAAAGTCCAGTGCTGCTTATTTGTGAAAAAAGTTCAAAAATAGACCATTTAATGACAGTGCGCCTTATAATCCAGAGCGCCTAATAGTGCTGAAAATGTGGTACTAACGCTGCGAGGTCAGACGGTTTCTACGAAGTGAAACCAGCTGATGTATCAGGCTAGTAGTTACAGAGAAAGGGGTGACAATTTTTCAGTGTAAAGTCAATTGGAGCCAGAGTCGATGGAGCTGGAAGTGAACCCACGAACACTTCCTATTTGGAACACAGCATGTCAATTTATCCAGCATATACAGTATATGAGACAGACTAATATATAAAAATGTGACCTTTTACCATAATGACACTACAGCTTGCAAAAATGTGAAATAATGCTTACATGAAATCGTTTTATGGCAGGTCAAAACGGGTAAACTGAGTGAAACAAATCAAAAAATATAGTAAGACATAAGTCATTACCCATTCATTCACGTCTTTATTGATGGAGTTCCAGTAGTACCCGGACACCACGCGGTCCCGGGTGCTGCGGTTGCCCATGTGTGTGCCCGTGCCCGGGTCGATGTGGCACTCGTTCAGGGCAGACCGCCGCTCCTCCTCCGATAAAACCACCAACCTCATGAACTGTTGACTCGGCCCCGTGTAGAACAATCTGTGGTCTGTTTGAAAAAAAGCACAAGATTTAAAAGGCCCAGATTATGCTATTTTCTGATTTATGTTATAATGTTGTTTACTTATCACAAACATAGTGTACCTGGAGTTGTGTTTTGTTTCATTCACACAAGTTTAACACACAAACCCTGCGTATTTAATCCTTCTCTCAAACAGTTCCACCTTGTGATGTCATCTGGTATTACAGGAAGATCTCCACTGTGTTTTTAAACTCCATATATCTTCACTAGAATCATTTGGATCATTTCAGCCCTGAAATTGCCAATCTCTTCGAAAAACAAAAGGTGAAAGATACTGTAGCTGTGAACTTGAAAACTATCACTTCATGACATCACGAGGTGGAACAGAGCATTTTGAGCTTTGGAGATGTAGACAGACTCATAATAAAGTATTACTCAAACATGTGTGAATGAAACAAAACATCACTCCGGGTCTGTTTTTGAGGAAGTAATAACATTATAACACGGCTTAAAGCTCACAGGAGTCAATTTTGTGCAATATTAGACTTTTAAAGGTGTATTATGTAACTTTTCTGATGAGGGGTCTGCTCCCTGCTGCCTGGAATGTTCCACAATATGGCATTTTAACTTGCATTTATCAATTTATTGCTCAAAATATCTTAAAAAAAACATGTATTCTTGCACAAAGTTGGGTTGCCTCTTCACAAATCTGATCTGTAACTTGCCCTGGTTGTGTCTTTCGCTTGTCTCCATGGAGATAAACTTACGTAATGCGACTTTAAATGTAACTTTTGTTGGTTGGTCAAATTTATAAACTAGTATTACATTATTATAAATTATAGTCAACCCAATTTGGCCTGTGTGTTTGAGTAATCTTAAATTTTATCATAATTTGGACCAATCCACCAAAGAGCCTGAGCACGTCAACCTTTTATTTATTACTTATTTATTTATTTATTTTGCAGATTGCCACATTTGTTTTCCAAGCCACAAGTTAAAAACCTCTTCATTATTTTAACAGACAGTGTATTTTTAATCTTTTTGTCCAATGCTCCTGCTACATATTCAAAAATACTTCAATGTCCCTTATGTTTTTTTTACCATTTTTTTTCTAATTGTTGCTTACAGGAATGCACAGAAAACTAATTTGATTAAAATTATTGTTTGTTTTTTTTACAATGTGCTGGGCAATCAATGCAAAAATTCTAATGAAGTTTGAATACGATGTTGTTATTTCTAAAGTGTAATTCATCAAATGTAAATAAGACAGTTCCAGTTTTGTAGAAATCTGGTCCTCCCTAAAAGTTTTGTGGTATTTACCTTTAAGAACAAAATTTGGCGATGATCTTCTGACTTTGCTCCTGAATCTGCGGTCCAAGTTTGCGTGCATTTTTCCATGTAATTGATAATACTGTAAATAACGATAAAAAGTAAAAGTATCCATGGCTAATTCGGTACCAGATCTGCGCTAGCGGCCTAATTTGTTCCGCGCATGTGCAGAACCGGTCAGTTTCCGGTTTGGGTTCGTTTTCCTCCGAATAATGAAGACGGAACGTTAGGTGCTGCCCTCTACTGGACATTTGTAGTGCTACGTTCAACCAAAACAGCAGGTCGTTTTCATCAAGTAAATTTAATCATAACGAATCAACACCCAATTTTTGTTTGTTTTAGTTAGTTAGTTTTGTTTTTTTACTCAGAATTCACATGTCCTCCTGGATGAAACATAAAATAAAAAAAAACAACTAAATGTGTGTCACAGGATTGAAAAAGTGAAGCAGATTTCAAAGCTTTTTAAAAAAAAAAGAATTTACATTTTTTAATTAAATTTTATTTGTTTACTTTTATTTATTATTATTATTATTATTATTATTATTATTATTATTATTATTATTATTATTATTATTATTATTATTATTTTTTGTATGCGTGTTAGTTTTATATTTAGTTATGTCTGTCTTTTGTTGATGTGCTGGGTATCCAATCCCTCAAACTTGACAAATTATAAATAAAATAAATATAATAATAATAAAAAAAAAAAAAAAAAAAAGCTTCAAAGTAATTTTTCTTATTCCCACTGCTTTTTGTTGCCATTATGTCTGTTATGATTGCACTAATGTCATGTGGATAATCCTCTGTACACTGTCCACTGTAAGAGAATGTAAATTGTTACTTGCCCCAAATAAATACATAAATTAAATTTTTTTTATAAAAGCCACCAAATGCCTGGCTGTCATGCTGAAATCTTTTTTTATTCAGTACTGAAAAAAAGTACAATTTCTAAAGATAAAATTATTTTGTTTTTGTAATTTGCCTTGATGTTATTTTCATATTTGTATACGATATATGGTGATATTTCCATTTCATTTATTTATTTATTTATTTATTTATTTATTTTATTTATTTATTTATTTTTAATTATTGTTATTCGGGTAGTATAAAACTCATTACAGTATACATACATTAGATTTAGTATGATGCCCATAAAATAAGACATTCAGTATTTGGAAGCTTACAATAAAAATAAAACAATCAAGTAAGTCTATCCTATTCCAGTATGTTAACGTACATTCATCTACAAAACGAATACATGATTAAAAACACGTTAATACACAATAAATAAAACAGCACACGTTTAAATTTGTCTGTGAATGAAACAAAATTAAAAGTATTTTCTGTGTAGTTCCACGACACAAACAGCAGAGGGCAGTGTAATCCTGTAGAAAAGCTTCACGGCTGTATCCACTGCTTTACGGCCGTGTTTTGTTCCGCCGTAAAGAAGGACGCACGGATACGGAGAAGGTTAAAGTGACTTTATCCCACACGGTAAATAAAATCATTTATTTTGCATTTATTCTTACTTTGAGGTAGATTTTTGACAGTCAAATGTGCGCATCAAAAACTGTATTGCGTTATATACGTCAGAGCAATGATACTTCTGCACGATCTTGAGCTGTTTATTTGACGTTTGCGTTAGCATTTAGCGTTTAGCCAGAAAAAATAAAATAAATTTACTAATCACTCGTGTTTTTACCAGCAGCACGTGAGATCAGGATAACAACGGATTATTATTATTAGATTATGTTCATAGTATGTGTATTAATAAGACACAAACGCTTTAAGTTGTATTTTATGGACATCCCAAGTCATTATTGGTAGGGGTGTGCAAAAATCGATATATCGCCAAGAATATTTATTTTATTTTATTTTATTGTATTGCATTTTATTTATTTTATTTTTTGTTATTATAATTTTTTTTTATATTTTATAAAATTATTTTGTCACAGTGCTACAGTTTTATTGTTTGTTTAGTGGAAGGAAATTCGTTTATGCGACATATTTGACATTTTCATTTTTTCATTTTTTTTGTTTTGTTTTGATGATTAAAATGTTTGCGTTTCATATGAATTTTGCACAAGAAATGGTTTAACAAAGACAGCCATGAGTTAGGCTTTATTTTTTATTGAGCTGTATTGAAACATATCAAATCGAAAGCTCTCTGTATTGAGGTCTGTATCGTATCGGCAGCTCCTTCTTAATGATACCCAACTCTAATTATTGGTAAAATTGTTATAGTGTATACTGGCTTAAAGTATATAGCGCTATGTCATTACTAGACAATATTTGTCACTGTTTTACGTTTCCAGTTTTTGATCTTTAGTTTTTATTCGTGTCTGTTTTTGTGTATTCCAGCGTTAATAGTTTTCTGACAAGTATTGCGATTAGATTTGTAATTTAATGTTTTAAAAAAATAGGATTCAGTTCAGAGTGCAAAGTGTAAACAACTCAAGGAGCGTAATATTTGAGAGAAGACTGAAATATAAATATAAACTGAAACTGACTGAAAGATGACTGATTAACTAATACAAGAATCTCACGAATTACAGAATGTGGGATATACAACAAGATTTTTCTAGAAATAATGACAAATTGCACTTCTGATTAATTTTCAGTATTAAAAACCTTCACAATGGATTGTCAAAAGTATTAAAAGTTCAACAAAAAACTTAAAAGACTGAAACAAACAGATGCCTTTTGAAGCTGCATTGTGTCACTTTTCCGTCAAATGCTTTTCTTCATGGAGAGGTTATTGTTTTGTCTGGAATGTTTCACAGTATGGCATTAAACTTTTCTATCTTCATGGAGACCAAACCAGACCAAATTACAGGTCAGATCTTGTGGAGAGGCGAACCTACTCAGTCGGAATGCCTGTTTTCTGAGCTATAACACCACCTGCCATTGAATAAATGTAAAGTAGATCTGATTAATGTCATACTATGGAACATTTCAGGTAGAGCAATGACATCTCCATAGAAACAAGCAAGTGACGGACCCCCTACCTAAAAGTTACATAGTGCACCTTTAAGTGATCTTCTTTGTAGTACTAGACTTAATTTGAACTTTTTTAACATGTGATTGGGACAGATGCACTCATAATCTCTGTTGTTTTCTTCAGCACGATGCCGTTCGTAGACCTCCAGAATCGGTTGGGGCTGCAGATGGACCAGTGGATCCTGCAGCAGAGCGGACCTCAGCCAAACAAACGCGCCGCTCGATGCCACGCCTTCGAGAAGGACTGGATCGAGTGCGCTCACGGCATCGGACAGACGCGTGCCAAGACGGAGTGCAAGCTCGAGTTTGAGGACTTCTACGAGTGCATGCACAGGGAAAAGACGGTAAGACAATGCACCAAAATCTATCAGACAGTTAAATTATTGTCTTTTATTCATATGTTTTACTTGTGTTGCATTTTTATCTGTTATGTTCAACACTTTGGGGCACTACTATCAGTTTTTAAATGTGCTATCCACATAAACCTTGACCTTGACCTTAAAAAATACTTATAAAACTGAGGTCAAGTGTCCAGAATAATTCTGCAAGGTAAAATTTACAGCAGGTCTGAAAATGTTGCCTGTTTTTTTGTGAGACAAATTATGCACAAAATGTAATAATAAATTCTGCTCTTCATCTTTGGGGTGTTTCTCTGATCCTAAATAACTTTTCGAAGCACCTCCAAATATTACGCTGTTGTTTATTCTTTTAAAAGGCTCATTACAGAGTTGAAAATCATGTAACAAGTGTCTAAATTGTACCACAGTAGAGTTCATTAATGGCATAATTAAGCCACGTTGTTCACTTACTTTTTTTTGGCACTTTCCTGTATCTCTATAGCTGCCAAATTATTCAAAAAAAATGTAAAATACATGTTTGTAAGTAATTTTCCTAACTGATGTTTTTAAAGAGGGGGGACTATGAAAAATAAATTTGTTAAGGTTTTTACCATGTTATAACATTGTGACCTCATCAAAAACACGCATGAAGAGGTCTAAGACGTTATCCATGCATGTTTGAGTCATTTAGTGATCTCTCCAGGGGCCTATTCAAACCCTCCTTACAAGGCTCCGCCCACAAGCCTACATCAGCCATCCTCCCATACGACAATTCTCTATAAATATACAAAAACATGATACAAAACTACACAACAACTTCACAAACCTGACGTGATGTTCAGGAGTTTCATCAGTGGGGTAAAAAGCTACACAGTGATCTAAATGTGTTCTGCGTTAGCAGTTAATACCCCATAAATACCCCCTCTTTAACATGTCCCCTATTGTGTGGTATTGATTACACCCATAAATGTAACTTTATTGATGAGGAAAATCAATATGTCCCAGCAGGAGGGATTTTATCAGAGGCCCGAGGCTTTTCACAGTGTTACACAGTTTGGTCATTAATGATGATTTGAGCAGCTGGAACTCACATGTTCTGGTCTGTGATCCAGAACACACACTTCTTCAAAACTTTACTAAGATGTGAGTCTGGTCACCGGCGAATCTCCCTGTTTTGAAATAGGAGTGATTGACAAGTGGATTAGCCAATCAGGGACATGCATGCTCTGTCCGCATCCAGAAAAAAAAAAAAACTGTTTGTAATTGTACAATCATGTTTGACTGATTTTGAGACATAACAGAGGGCGTTTGGACCAGACTAATATAAAAATATTAATTATGTATATATCATATCGTTTAATGTAACGATACAGTATTGATATCATGGGATGCTGTATCGATATCGCCAAGAGTATTTTTTTTGTTCAGCTCTACAATTTTGTTGCTTTAGTGAAAGGAAAATCGTTTATGCAACATATTTGACATTTTCACTGTGTTAATGATTAAAATGTTTGTTTCATATGAACTTTGCACAAGAAGTGGTATAACAAAGACTTTTAGTATCACAGTCATGATTTAGCCTTTATTTTTTATTGAACCGTATTGAATCGATTTGAAATATATCGTACTGGATAGAAAGTTCACTGTATCGAGGAATGTATCGTATCAGCAACTTCTTAATGATACCCAGCCCTAATGAAAATTCATTCATATGACATCCTTTGAAGCTTCATGTCCTCTTTCACTACATCCATAAATCTCCTCTCTCTGTTTGTTCTCTTGGCCTCAACGTCCTTCTAATCATTTTATTTATATCTCTTCACTGTTCATGTCCAAAGTGTCATCACAGACAGAGGGAGAACATGCAGACTCTCCTCAGAAAGGCCCCATCAAAGGATTTTGTTTAGAGGCGACTCATCCACGCTTTCTCATCTCCTCACAGGCTTTAATTTTTTTTTCTCTTTCTTCTTCTGTGCAGCAACGAAGACTCTACGCGATCCGTCAGCAGAGAGACAAGATGATTAAAGAGGGCACCTACAAACCTCCTCCGTGCCACACAGGAGCCGAGGGCCAGTAACTCCCCCACCCCGTGTACATGTGTATAGTAAAATAATGAAATCATGATTCACTGTCCATCACTTTCCATTGCAAATAAATGTTCTATCTCTCCAGTTTATGTCATTGTTTTACTTTGACGTCAGCAAACAAACTACAGGATGTTTTTGTTATAAACAGCCATGATTTTAAGTCTGTTTTGTTTTTATATTCAGGAAGTTAATACTGAAACACATTTTTATATTTTCAAAGACAAAATTATGACTGATCAACATGGGGAGAAGTATTTATGATTTGTTTTATAAGTTTAACACATCTCTTTTCATAAAATATCACTTGTTAGATTTTGATTCTTGGTAGTTTAAGTTCTCCGTGCATGAACTTATGTACCTAAAACAAAAAAAGTACAGTGTTATTTTTAATTTTCGTTCTACGTACTCTGATCTTCTCATTCATTAGTCCACTTCAGCTAATATTTAAAATACTCTAGCTTTAATTGTATTGAAATCCAGCATGCTTTTTCAACTTTAGTATTGTTTTAGTTAATTAGATATTAAACAAATAATTTATTAAACAGAAATAACAATGTTTATTTTATTTACTTATTTAGTTTAGTTAGTTATTTTTTTATTTGATTGATTTTATTTTGTTATTTAGTGTATATTATTTTCTTAGTTATTTCTTTACTTAGTTTATTTATTTAGTTATTTATTTATTTTTTATTATTTTATTGATTGACTTATTTTGTTATTTATTTGTTTAGTTAGTTTAGGTTATTAAGTTTTAAGTTATTTAAGTTAAGTTTTTTAGTTATTTATTTTGTTTTTTTATTATTTTTATTTAGTTATTTATTTTTTTATTTTTTTTGTTATTTAGTTAGTTTATTTTTTTTGTTATTGTTTTATTTTTATTTTTATTATTTTATTTTGTTATTAAGTTATTTGTTTAGTTTATTTATTTAGTTTATTTTTTATAAATTTTATTTGTTTATTTAGTTTTTATTTTATTTTGTTATGTTTACTTTTTGTTTATTTAGTTATTTAGTCAGTTAGGTTAGTTTTTATAATTAGTTTATTTAGTTAGTTGAGTTTAATTATCTAGTCAGTCTAGTTTAGTGAGTTAGTTTAGTCAATACGTTCATTGTAAACAGAAACCCGAGTGTCCATTGATCCCTGTGGTCTGTCTGCACTTCACTTAATGACCTTTTTAAAACAGTTACAGTTTTGTCTACGGCCTAAAGTCTTAAGTGGACATTAAACCAGCTCCGATGTGACCCACTGACCTGGATTTAGTGAACCACCGCTGCAGTCTAAAGGCAAATAAACTCTCCCACGAGACACAAATGAACGCTTCCTCTTTAATGTCTTCTATTTAATTACAAGGGCCGCGTCTCATTTCTCTTTCCTCGCTTCCTTCTCCTCGATTCCTCTCCTCGATTCTTCATTTTTCAGCAGCAGTGTACCAAAGAAAACCACGGAAGGAGCGAGAAAACACGGGGAACGCTTCAGGAGCAGACATCAGATAAAATAATCAAGTTTATATCCATTCTCGTCGCTTTGTCTCCTCTCAGGGCGAGACTTCCTCACCTATTTCCTGCAGAATCGAGGAGAAAGAATCAAGGAGAAGGAAGCGAGGAAAGAGAAATGAGATGCAGCCAAGGATCAAGTGAGCTACGAGGAGATCTGGCAGTGTTCTCCACCAGATGGCGCCACAACCTTGGACAAAACTACATCCAAAACCTTAAAAATTCCTCGAAATCTGACCATATGGTGAGGTTAATCAGATAAATATGAAGCTAAAAATAAAAATGTGCAGACTAATCATAGGTGAATAGTACAACAAAGGATTCTCCATTGGGTTTAGTTCATTGTTTTGCACTTCTTTTAAAATAAACCATCTTAAATTGTTAATATTAATGGCACAAACAAGAAAGGATTGACTATTTTAATGTGTTATACTTGATTTGACATTTTTGATTGGTTGTTCTGATACATTTTTCTTCCTTCAGGTACAGCAGTAGTTTTATTTCAGCATTTTGGTCACTTGTTTAAGGCTTTTGTCTCAGGTGTTGTGCGCTTGTTTGACAGATCTCTCCTGTTAAAGTGGAAACTAAAGGTCAAACAGTTTATAGTGAAAATGAAGTCAGAGTTTGAAATCAGAACATTGGAACTGCAAAACTAAACAAAATGATTCTGATTCACTTAATTCAACAAGAGAAACCCACAAAAACTAAACTAGGGTCCATATTACACTATTTTCTTACCTTTTATAATGTTGTTTTTCATCACAAACACACCTGGAGTTGTGTTTTGTTGTGTGTTTGTTAACACACAAATCCTGCATGGTTCAACTCCAGATAAGACCAAAATACATCATATTGTTGTGTTTTTGGGCAAGACACTTCATCTATGAATGGGCTGTTGGTGACGGTAAGAAAGGTCATTGGTCGTTGACCCTGTGGTCTTGCAATTCTTGACCTCGACTTGAGTCAGACTTGAGTCATTATTTTTAGGACATGAGACTTTACTTGATAAAATGGACTAAGACTTGGGACTCAACTTGGATTTGAAGATCAGTGACTTGGTGTTTGACTCAGACTTGAGGCCTGTGACTTGAGAAGCACTTCTAAATCTGAATTCTTTCTATTCTGACTGTAATGATTCACACTAAGATCTTGTCAAGACATTTAAAAAGGAAAAAATAACATGTCTACAACTCTTATGTACTCTATAAATACTCATATAAAACTATACTATGATTTTTTTAGTACAATTTAGTTAAAAATTCATATAAATTGCAAAAATCTAAAGTATATTTGTTGCTTTGTTTTACAGACTTGAATTGACTTGAAGCTCAAAGCAGACGACTTGGACTTGACTTGAACTTATGGGCCAGTGACTCGAGACTCTACTTGGACTTGCCTGTATTTGACTTGGGACTTGACTCGGACTTGAGGTCAAAGACTTGAGACTTACTTGGGACTTGCAAAACGAAGACTTGGTCCCACCTCTGATAGACGCTATAAATTAATTTAACTTGGTTTCACTCCAAACAAAATAAGCTACTCTGAACTAAATCACATTTTGTTTGTTTTGTTTAAATAGTAATAATAGTCAATACAAAACAGCAACTCCTAACTTCTAATAACAGAGAGAAATGCATTTCTGCACATTATGGATTTGCTTGGAAAATGTTCTTTGTCACTGAACCAAAGCAGTGTTGGAATGTAACGAAGTAAAAGTAGTAAAGTACTGTACTTAAGTAAAATAAGTTGGTATGTACTTTACTTTACTTAAGTACATTTTAACTTGCATAATTTAACTTCACTACATTTGAGAAAAGATATCTGTACTTTCTACTCCACCACACTTTAGAACAGGAATTGAAAAGTAAAAGTATTTTTATTATAGTTTTTTGTTGTTGTTGTTGTCGTTGTCTTGTTTGTTTTTTACATTTTTTTTTTTTTTTTTTTTGCACAATTGGGACACATTTCCATACCTGACCCTACTTTACTTTACATATTTATGGAGAGATGAGACCAAAATATGATTAAAATTAAAAATAAATAAATAACAACAACAAATTAATCATTATAATTGAATGTTTGAATAAGATTTTTTTTTTTTATCATTTAAAGGTGCACTGTGTAACTTTTTGTTTGGAGGCTCTGTCACCTTCTTGTTTCTATGGATACATCATTGCTCTGCCTGGAATGTTCCACAGTATGACCATCTTTACTTTACATTTATTCAATTAGAGGTGGTTTTATAGCTCAAAAATACTCAAAAAACAGGCATTCTGACTGTGAGCGGGGTCGCCTCTCCACAGATCTGACTTGTAACTTGGTCTAGTTTGGTCTCCGTGAAGATAGAAAGGTTTAATACCACACTGTGAAACATTCCAGACGATGATAAAATAAAATGATAAATGATAAAATAAATGCTGAGATGCTAGTCTTAAAACAAACAAAAAAAAAAAACAAAAAAATAAAATAAAATAAGAGCAAAACCATAGAACAGAAATAAACAAATAAAAACAATAAAATAAATTAAAAGTAAATAAAAGACACAGAGGACCACACAACTTTCACAGTGTTAAAAGCCAGAGAATAAAAGTAGGGCTTAAGATGAGACTTAAAACCTTCCACATTTCACGGACCCTCCGCCAGAAAAGTTCCACAGTGCACCTTTAATGCAGCTGGCGCCTTTACCTGCAGTACCGCCATCCGCCTGTAGAGACACATTCACATAATTGATCTATTCTGCCTTTGACCTTTAACCTGTGTTTGCTGACATCTGTGTCGTGTGTCACCAGTAGCTGCTCTCTGATTAAATCTCCCATAATCCTTTGCGGCCGCAGTCAGTGTTCGATGAAGAGGAACCTGGATTATCGTCAACAAAGGCCAGACCCAGTGCCCCCCGAAACCAAAACACACAGCCACGCCCACGCTCTGCCGACGGACTCACTCTCCTGTGATTTATATCTCGTGATTATGTGTTTATACAGTATTTTAAACGTCCTGTGTTACGCAAAATTGACTCTTGTGAGCTTTAAGTCATGTTATAATGTTGTTACCTCCTCAAAAACATTCGTACATGGTCGATTAATTCTTTATTATTAGTCTGTTTACATTTTCAAAGCTCAAAACGCTCTGTTCCATCTTGTGTTTTCAAGTTAACCCGGTGGAAAAACTGACAGCTGCACTCGTCTTTGTTTACTGCGACGTCATTTTCTAACATGGAAATCAGTGTCACTTGTTTCTTTTATTAAAGGTGTACTCTGTAACTTTTCTGGTAGAGGGCCCACCAGTTGCTTGTTTCCACGGAGATGTTATTGCTTTGCCTGTACACTGGAAAAAACAATATCTAGGTAAGTTAAAATGACATAAATTAAGACTATTTGACTGAGAAGATTGAACTTGACAAGTGAAATTATCTACCAATGGAATAAGTGTTTTTCTTAATTCAAGCAACATTTGATTTTGTTTTTTATTTTAAGTGCAAAAAGTTGTTGTTTTTCTTATTTTAAGTGCAGCAAGATGTATTTTTTTTATGTTTTAAGTACAAAAAGTCTTGTTCCATTGTTAGATAATGAATAGTCAGGCTGGTGTCTACGG